GGCCTAGCCTCTACCAGGCTTTGGGAGGCGGGCCTAGCCTCTACCAGGCTTTGGGAGGCGGGCCTAGCCTCTACCAGGCCTCGGGAGGCGGCTGGAACTGTTGTTTCCCTGTGTGGGCCTAGTGTCTACCAGGCTTTGGGAGGCTTTTTGTCACCTTTGGTTCCCAGCTGTGCATCTTACCAAATATCTGACCTTGACTTTTTCTCCTGTAGACACAGTTTGTTCAGTCATCAGCCCACAAACTAAAACTCTACAGTACATTTTATTGTCCATTTATAATATGAGTTTGCTGATATAGCATTGCTTATTGGGAACTAGAGAATACATTGCAGCATCGTAAATGCAGAAAATGATAGTTGTTTTGCATACTTCTGTGGTTAAAATATAAATGTAAAAGCACACAGACAAGTCTATTCAGAAAGTACTTTATCTGCACATTTGCGACTAATAATATAAGTAGACAACATCTCTGTCTCTTATTATACAAGCAAGAATGTTCATCACACTTCCTTCCCATTTCACAATGACAATGCTTTCACAATACACTACCCCTAACGCTGTCTTCACTATAGCGCAATCCTGGCATCATTATTTCATATCACTCTCCCCACTCTCACAAGGACTGTTACTGTACCAAGCCAGCCTCAACCCTTGTCCTTCTGGCATTTTTTACACAATATTTTTCAATAATTTCATGTCTTAATTAGATCATAATTAGACCCCCGACTTTTTGTTGCCCTGCGGTGGCAGTTACTTCCGCATTCGTTGCGTTTCGCTGTGGTGTGATCTGTTGCACAAGAAATACCCCAAATTGTACCTATACAGTGTGTTATATAGATGGTACTGTATGTGCAAAATAACAATTGTTGGGCTCCACAGGACAAGGGTTAATGTCTAGCTGGGCTGTTGACACACAACATGCATATGGTTGATGTGTAGAATTGTTATGGAATGAACCATACTTCATTATAACAAAAAGCTCAGCCTGATTTCTGCCTTACAGATGACCAAACCTTCAGTGTGTTGTTCCTGCCTTCGTGCTTTGTTGTATTTAATAGATCAGAACAGCTGGTTACATGGTTACCTTGAACCTATTGTCCTCAGGTGTATCAACACTAACTACGTCTCAGGGTTTTTCCACACCTTCTCTGTGTCCACATGAGATACCTGTGCCTGCCTTTGCATGTAAGTACATTAGTCACATACAAATTACAATAATCCATTCTTCACAATCATCATGTAATCTCAAGCAGTATGCCTGTCATCTTTTGTCTTTGGCTTTCTATAAGTATTTATCTTATATATTTATGCTTTCTTAACAAGGCTGAGAATAAAGGTTTTGAAGTAAAAACACTTAAGTCTGTGTCCGTGCTGCTATCTTCCATATTTGCTCTACTTCTACTTAGGCCACAGCAAGTAATTTTTATGGATGACATCCGCGCGCGCATTAATTTTCGCCCGATTTTAGAAAAAAAAAAACAAGAATTTTTGTTGCCTTTTGACAGTGGTCAACATGCCGAAAATGGGCAAAGATACCTGTTGCCATACTGGAGCGTGGATGGCAGATAAATATGAAGAGAGGAGACAAGACAAGATTTAATGTCTTGTTTCTTACTTTGATGCCGTGATATGTGATGTTGGCTGTGTAATAAAAACAGTATACATGTATGTAATGTTCCTACTGAATCAAAACCATTTCTACAATGATTGAGTCAAAAGTTTAAAATGTAGGAACCTTGTTTATTTCGGCTCGCCTTGTTTTTTTTTCGCCCGCTCGCATTAGATTTGGAGTCGGAGGATGTCATCCATAAAATTTACTTGCTGTGGCCTTATATCTAGACAAGACAGCTGGTCATGGATGGAACCTTGATGTTCTCTGCCAGAAAAGTCTACTTATTTTTCAGCTGGTCCCTTTTCTCCTGGATAAAGTCCTTCATTTTCTCCATGTGTTTGGAAGGGGGAGGCTTCTGCATGACACCTTTCTTGCGCAGGTAGCGTATCGTGAAAGTCGTTCCGCCCAGGGTCACGGTGTAACGGGCTGGAGTTGCAATCTAAAAGAGACAGAAAAAAATACTTGGAATACTGGAAAATTCTGCTCACAGGTTTTTCCTGTGCCCCACATTTCCCTCTCCTACCCAGTACAGTACTACATGTTGTATCTGCTTTTACAATTTATGTAAACCAACAAGATTCCCCCAATGTGCAAAGAGGAAAACTGTTAAGTAATATTTATCTGAAGTGTCATACCTTGTAAAAAGCATGAAACCTGTTAAGTAATATTTACCTGAAGTGTTGTACATGCAACTTATAAAAAGCATGAAAACTGTTGGTAATATTTGCCTGAAGTGTTGTACATGTACCTTGTAAAAAGCATGAAAACTGTGCGGTAATATTTGCCTGAAGTGTTGTACATGTACATGTAAAAAGCATGAAACCTGTTAAGTAATATTTGCCTTAAGTGTTGTACATGTACCTTGTAAAAAGCATGAAAACTTTGTGGTAATATTTGCCTGAAGTGTTGTACATGTACCCTGTAAAAAGCATGAAAACCGTGTGGTAATATTTGCCTGATGTGTTGTACATGTACCTTGTAAAAGGCATAAGCCACCATCACATCCGAGGCTCCAGACTTCTCCATGGTTTCCACCCAGGAATGCGGCAGGCCGATCTTCTCCAGGAGGGGCACTGGGTCTACACCACTGCAGACGGGACAGAA